AAGCAGCAAGCGATGGATAGCTCAAGCCACTGGGTCTTTGCTTCCATATGGAAGGTTAAGATTGTGTGCTTGTCTCCAAGCTATGTTCCGGCCCACTCCTGGCTGTTGTGGGCATTTGAGGAGTGACCCAGCAGATAGAAGCTCTCTCTGTTATTGTTATTGTCTCTCTCTCTCTCTCTCACACACACACACACACACACACACACCACAAAATATCTTCAACATGCTCTTGACAAAATAGCAAGTATATTTCTAAAAAAGTCCTTCATCTTTAAAAACAATCTGAAAATCATATGAATCCAAGATAAAATTGACCTCAAACTCTTATTTTATCAGGCATCTCCAGTTGCAAAAATATATTCATTTTACCTAAAGATACTGTGAAAAAAAATCACTTTGAAAAAGACTAAACATCAGAATAATACACTTATTGATTTCCAAAAATCATAGGTAACCTGATATTTAAAAAATTGAGTTCAGTTAAATGGACATGCTTCTCTCCAATCAGATAATATTGAGAATTTGTGAGTTGGAATTGATAGAGGGAAGTTTCTGGGACTAGTTATGAATGAGTTTGTTTGAATATATGTATATACATATATGAATGTGAACTTAAATTACTCTATGAATTGCTGTTGCTCTTTTTGACTCAAATAGCCATGTCTATGGTCTCTGTTTATATTTGTGTAAATGCTTTCCCTCTTTTATGGGAACATATATGTATTATATTTATATTTGTATCCATATTTATAAAGTTCTACACCAAATAACCCAACCTTCTAAATGCTCAGAGCAAGCAAGATGGTTTGTTTTCTGATTCAGCTATCTGAAATTTGACAACTTGACAAATACATTTGTAAAGTACCTAGTTCCTGGAAAAAGAAGAATAAATTGGGAGCTGGGATCACATGAATTATGACTGAATGAGAAAAGACATTTACACTGACAGTTGGAGAACTTAGGACAAAAAGAATCCACCATGGAAAAGTAATCATTTTTCTCTTTCTTTCTAGGTTGAATTTCCTTAGTTTTATGGAAAAAAGAAAGTAGTACAGGCTATACAAAGTTATATTGCTATTTAAATTCTTATGTTTAAGAAAGATGTCACCATTAGATTTTATGTGTCAAACTGAAATTATAGTCTCTTATTAAATAAGGTGCATTGCACCGATGCTGTGGCACAGTGGGTTAAAGCCCTGGCCTGAGGCGGTGGCATCCCATATGGGTGCAAGTTCTAGTCCTGGCTGCTCCTCTTCCGATTCAGCTCTCTGCTATGGCCTGGGAAAGCAGTAGAAGATGGCTCAGGTGCTTGGGCCCCTGCACCCAAGTGAGAGACCCAGAGGAATCTCCTGGCTCCTGGCTTCGGATCTGCGCAGCTCCGGCTGTTGTGGCCATCTGGGGAGTGAATCAGCGGATGGAAGACCTCTCACTCTGCCTCTCCTTCTCTTTCTGTGTAACTCTGACTTTCAAATAAATAAATAAATCTTAAAAAAAAAAGAAACAAATAAGGTGCATCTAAATTGCATATATCAAAACTGCATTTGAAAAGAGTATTACTTGATTAGTTCTCCAAGAAATTAGAAATCCAGGTTCAATAGGAAAGTATGCATGGCAACCAGTGGAAATCCAACGAAGCATTAGGAAACTGGAGCTTTTTTCTAGTCCAAATATAATAGTATTGATATCCCTAAGAGAGCAACAAACAACACAGTTATGTAAATTTTCTATTGTGTCTCATAATCTCAGTTTTTTTATCTTGGGCAAATAAGAAACTTTGGAATTTCATTGTAATGCAGTCTTTCTCAAGTGTACAGTAGGTCTCAATCCTGACTTCACATCAGAATCATTTATGGAGAATTAGAAAACACTGAAGCTTGTAAACTCCAGAAGGGCTATGAAAGATTCTTTGAGCAAGATGCTCAGGAACAGGTAAAGTGTTTCCCAGTGATGTTGATGAACAACCAGATTTGAAAATGAGTAACAAAAATAAGAGTAGAGAATAACAGTGTTCAGAAGAACTGGGTTTAGGATTTCCCTGAAAAGGTAGGAGTTTTGATGCAAAATTACTGTGTGACCTTGAGAAAATTACTGTACTCTTCACCCTGAGAGTCCTCATATATGAAGTAGAGATTCTCATCCTTCTTATTTCATTGTTGTGTTTACCTTTTCTAAAGTATTATTTACACCACCTGAAGCAAAGTTAACTAATGTTCATTAAAATCTCGAAACGTACATTACTGGTAAGAATCTAGTAGTGTGCAGACCATGCATTTTCAACAAACTGTAAGGGAGATTATTTGGCATAATGACTTGATAATCAACATTTTAATAGGAAATGAGACTATCCATTAGGTGAATAACAAGTACATACTAAGCACTCAGTACATATAAGCTATACATTGATCAGCAAAAAAATGTTGATCAGTGAAAAAATGTTAATCAGTGGAAAATACTGAAGTATGTATATATAAACATTTTATAATAGTAGTACCAAGTCTGCCAAATTTGGTGCTAATATATAAAAGACTATTATATAATCAATAAAAGTTCTTTAGTGTATCCAGAATCCATGAGTTTTATTTTTCCTTGCATAATTGCATTTAAGCTGTGGTTGAATTTCATGAAAAAGGTCATAGAACCAACTGTTCAAGTTAAAAAAATGAAAAAAATCACGTTGAGAAACTACTAATTAATAACTTCATTTACATTTTATGTTATTTAAATATTACCAGATCTCCTAGAAAATCACCTCATAGCCATATGAATTTTCAGTGATGTATAGTAGCATCAACATTTGAACTACAGGTCTGAAGTACCCTTTTGTCATTTATCAAATGTTACTAAAATCCAATTTTTTCATATGTACTTTAGATTTAGTAACATTTCTACCATATATGATCGATGAAATAAACATGAAATCTGCACACAGGGTCTATAGCTAGTTTTTCAGAACATACTATGTCTGTGCTAAGCATTATTCTTTGTGCTGAATCTACATTAAATTTTCTGCAAATTGGAAGAGATTTTTTTTTCTTTACCTTATCATCCTAGGTGACTTCTTTGGAATTAGATAACTTATTCTCATTCTGTGGCCTTTGTTCTTCACTAAGCATTAATTATTAACGCCATGATTTAACCACATCATCTCTAAGGAAATATTGTCAGTTAGAACAAAATGACTTTCCTAGGTCACTTAAACTGATTAAATCATAAACTTAATTCAATATTTCTTCTAATGGTTTTGTTTGGGTAGCAATGTTTGAGTTTTATTTTTATTATTTATATTTGGTAGATTGGCAGGTAGTTTCATTAAGGAATGGTTAAACACAAAATTTGAATCATCTGGCAGATTCATTAACAGAATTAACTGTATAAAAATAAAGTTTTTCATAAAGCTACCAAAATTAGTTATTTCTGTGATCCAGAAATATAAATTGTCGGATAAAATCAGAGGAAGCTGTTAAAGTGATTATGAATGCAGACTTTGCTTAAAAGTCCTTGTAAACTACCTTAAAGGCTGTGAACACTCAGTTATTATAATCTAGCTTTAATTCCGTCGTATAATCCTTTTGATGTTTGTATGGAGAAAACTTCCTTCCTTGAGTATACTCATTTTAAGAAATTATTGGCCCTGAATATACCCTGAAGCAAATTAGTAAGGCAGTATTTGAAATTACTGTGCTCTCATTATTCCAAATTTTCAGTTCTTTTATACTTCAAGTATTTTTTGGCTTTGAAATCAAATTTGAAGCCATTTGAATAAAAGTAATTAATGTTCTATGTTATGCTTTTTGTGGCAAGACCATAGATTGACTAATCTGTAATGTTGACATAGTATATAGAGCTGTTTTTTTAACTTAGTAAAATTATGTTTTTATGGCTACACAATGTCTGCTTATGATTTATAACACATGAATGCCTAAAAAAGCAGCATTAATCACATCAATATTGGGACTGAAATAAAGCAGTAGCAGGGGATTGCTATTTATATTAATAAGAATTGTGCCTTATAAAATTTTTAATGTGAGATCGATATTAATTTTCACTCTAAAATTGTTATTAAATTTAATGATGAAATAATTATGAAAAATTTGTACATCTAATAATGTAATTATTCACAACAGTAAAATACACATTAAAGCAAAGGAGTTTAAAATATATAAGATAAAAACAATCTAACAAATGTCACCTGATTTTTATAAAACAAAGTGCTGTTTTGGTAGCTATTTTTAGTGGTATGTCAATCACTATTTTTTTTTTTTTTGACAGGCAGAGTGGACAGTGAGAGAGAGAGACAGAGAGAAAGGTCTTCCTTTGCCGTTGGTTCACCCTCCAATGGCTGCCGTGGCCAGTGCACTGCGGCCAGCGCACCGCGCTGATCCGATGGCAGGAGCCAGGAGCCAGGTGCTTCTCCTGGTCTCCCATGGGGTGCAGGGCCCAAGTACTTGGGCCATCCTCCACTGCACTCCCTGGCCACAGCAGAGAGCTGGCCTGGAAGAGGGGCAACCAGGACAGAACCCGGCGCCCCAACCGGGCTTAGAACCCGATGTGCAGGCACCGCAAGGTGGAGGATTAGCCTAGTGAGCCGCGACGCTGGCCTGTCAATCACTATTAAGCACTTTCTTGTTTGGTGCTTTGCTGATGGTGTCTATGTTAAATTGGTCAGTTGAGAAATTTATTAAGAAATGACAGTTTCTTTAATTGAAGGTGCTGGAAAAATTGTATATCCATACTCAGAAGAATGAAATTAAATACTTATCTCATACTGTGTATAAAAATGAACTAAAAATGGATTAAATATCTAAATATAAGAACTGAAACTCTGAAATTACTAGAAGAAAACAGGGAAATTCATTTAGGATATTGCCATAAACAAAGATTTTTTCGGATCCACTCCCAAAAGCCTAGGAAATAAAAGCATAGGTAGACCAATGGGATTTCTTCTAAATAAAGAGATTTCATACAGCAAAGGAAGCAGCTGACAGAGGTAATAGACAATGTATGGAACAACAGAAAATATTTATATGTTATACATCTGACGACGGATTAATAAACAGAAAAATATTAGGAACTCAAACAACTCAACAGCAAAACAAAAACAAAATAATCCAATTTAAACAGGGCAGTAGATACAAACAGTTTTCAAAGGAAGACATAACATGAACAACATGTACATGAAAAATGTTCAGCATCACTATTCATCATCACTACTCATTGGGCAAAGGTAAACTAAAAGCACACTTAGGTACATCACACTGCAGATATTATCAAAAAGACAAGATGTAGTAAAAGAAAACTCATGAAAACTGTTAGTGGGAATGTAAACTATTATAGTGTTGAGGGAAATAGTAGGGAAATTTCTTCACAAAATGGAAATAGAACTACCATATGATCCAGCAATACTGTTACTGGTATATATCCAAGAGAAATGAAATTTCCCTTTCGATGAGACAACTGCACACGCATGTTTATTGCAGCACTATCACAATAGTCAGGAAATGGAGACAATCTAAGTGTCTCTCCAATGATGAATGGATAAAAACAATACATATATACATTTGAATATTAATATTAATGAGCCATAAAGAGGATGAAATCTTGTCTTTTGCATGAACCTGGATGGACTGGAAGTTACAGTGTTAACTGACATATGTAATACACTGAAAGCCAAGGAGCCCATGACCTCAGTCATGAAAATCTAAAAAAGGAGATCTCAAAAAAATGAAGAGTACAATAGTGATTACGAGAGAGGGCAGGGGAGGATGGTGGGGAAAAGGGAGGGATGGGGACAGATTGATTCATGGGTACTGGGTTATGGTTAGATAGGAATAAGTACTGCTGTCATTATATTGTACTTTAGCATGATTATAGATAATGTGAATATAGTCCCTTAAAAATCTAGGGAAAAGAATTTTGAATGTGTTTATCATAAAGAAATGTTAAATGTTTGATGAGATAGACATGTTTAGCATGGTTGGATATTACATGATAAATACATATTGGGATATCATGGTGTATTCCATATATTTCTATAATTTTTATGTTTGTTATTATTTTTTAAAAAGGAAAATAAAAATATGCTATTACTTTCATCACTTTTCAAAGATTAGCAGCTTAGTTTTTTTTTTTTTTAACTAGAAGGGCACTTACATTTTGTATTAGTATTTTAGGAAACACATGACTCAAGTTCACCTTTGCCCAACTCAATGGAGACAGGTGACTGCAAAGGAGCTTATTCAGTCAGTAAAATGTCCATAAGATAGAAACTTTGACTTAGCAATAAACTTTACTTAATTTGGCCAAGTAAGTAAAAACACTCTATTTGTATCTAAATTATTTTTTGATATTCTAAAGTTTTGATTTGTTTCAGTAAAAATTAAAAATCGCCCGGCACCGTGGCTCACTAGGCTAATCCTCCGCCTTGCGGCGCCGGCACACCAGGTTCTAGGCCCGGTCGGGGCGCCGGATTCTGTCCCGGTTGCCCCTCTTCCAGGCCAGCTCTCTGCTGTGGCCAGGGAGTGCAGTGGAGGATGGCCCAGGTGCTTGGGCCCTGCACCCCATGGGAGACCAGGAGAAGCACCTGGCTCCTGCCATCGGATCAGCGCAGTGCGCTGGCCACAGCACGCCGGCCTCGGTGGCCATTGGAGGGTGAACCAACGGCAAAGGAAGACCTTTCTCTCTGTCTCTCTCTCTCTCACTGTCCACTCTGCATGTCAAAAAAAAATAAAATAAAAAAAAAATTTAAAATAACCAAGCCATTGAAATTTTCAATCCTGGCAGGAAAGACTGAAAATTGCTCTGGGGGAAATCATGAAATAAAGCTTCTCTTTAAGTCTATAATATTTTCTCTCTACTTGTATTTACTCTATCTTGATGTACAAGCACACTCTCCTTGCAATATTTCAAAGGGATACTTCCTCAAGAGTCAAAGATGAATAATAGATTGATGGAACAATTTGAGTGACTGTTTCTGTTTAATATTGGTTACAGTGAATCAGCACAAAGTTACAGTGTAGAAAAATGTACTTTGGTTTAGGAAGAAAATTGATCATATTCCCAATAATATAATTTCAGGTATTTTATATACACATTTAATTTTTAAAATCTTCTTGATAATTAGTGATCAATTTTCCAAAGGATTTCCCCAAAATAACTGTTTTTTCTACATGACTTTTAAAGACATTAATGGGACTCATTGATGACCAAACTATGGTGAGTAAAAATGCCACATTCAATAAACAATTTTATACCAATTACATACAGTTTGAGCTTAAGAAATATAGACATCAAAATTCTATTAATATGATCTTTAACTTTTTTCAGAAAGGAAATCTCATTTGTGTAAATCCACACAAGGCTACTGTTACACTTTTGTTTAGGAAAAAAAAAGAAAACATTTGCTCATTCCATTAGCAGGGATTGTTTGCTTTTAATTCTCTGAGGCTAATTTCTAGGAGGTTTAAATCTTGTTATATGTTATTCCTTTACTAAAATATATTTAACTGAAGACAAGGAATTAAGTTCAAGAGATGAAATATGATATAAAAAGAGAAATGTGTAAAACTTCAGTAACCTTTAACAAACAGTACTCTTTAATTGTAGGATGTAGTTTATACTATTGAATTTATTTTGTAATAACAGTGAAGTGAATAACTTTTGCCATCTATTGATACCATCTCTGTTCCTCTAGTGAATAATAGCACACAATTGTAAGATTATGTAGTAACCAGATCTGGTTTTGACCAGGATGAAAAATGGTAAAGGAATCAAAATAATCAAGTTTTAACTTTTTGTAACCTTATTTTCACTCATTGGTGAAGCAAACAAAATTTAATTGTGACAGAAAATAAATATACTTAAAAGTAGGGGGTAGTTATGCAAATTATTTAAATAGTGAGACAATGCCACTTACTCCAACTAGTTAAAAGTGCTGTGTGGTATTTTATAGGGGAAAGATGCATATAATATTTGAAACTTTTTAAAATATTTGGAATTGTACTGTGGAGAAATGACAGATTATTACTCAAGGAGAAAATTGAATCGGATCAAGTTCCAATAAAAGTATTTTGAAATGCCTTCTTAGTAATGGACTTTAATACCTTGGTGATTAAAAATGCCATATATCCCTACACAATATTTTACTTATCTTAATGACAAATAGTGAAATGCATGACAAAGTGGAAGAGAAAAATTCCCTCTATCTCTTCCAGAAATTGAAGGACAACATATTAACTATTTTATAGAGTTTTGTAACAATTAGCTTTAAATTATTAGAGCTCTCAGATGTTATTCATTTCTGCATTGATTTTTGATGACTTTTATACACCAAAATTATAGTTACTGGTAGTTGGACAGAATGATTATAAATCAAGTTGGCCATTGTGGTTAATGCTACAATAATACATAGCATATTAAAATTATAGACTAAGTTTCTGAATGTTCATTCATTGACATTATTAACCCTAATGCAAACATTAAATAAAACAATGATTTCCTGAATATCACATGAAGTATTAGCCTCATGGACATTTTCATTTGCTAGAAAAAATACTGAGTGTTATATTATTATATCTCTGGCTCACCTATTGGAAGAGGTGGCTATCTAGGATATAATTAATCCAAGAAGAGGTGAAAATTTGAACATGGTATATTCTTAATGAGATTGTACTTAACTATGAGCATATAAAATTTACGTATCATTTTCTCACATGGCAAATTTATCTTTTAGGTAAATTTTCCAAGAGAGTATCTGGATAGAGTGAAATAAGAAAGAAAAAGAACAGTTTAAATACAGACTACTTTGTTCTCAAATGTGTATGCTTTTCATAAAAGACAGATTAAATTATCTAGAAAATGATGTGAAATCTACAGTTTAATTTCAATGGTAAAAAATATAACATTAAGACATCTTAAAAGGTTTTGGGCTCAATGAAGTGAGACCTAATCTGGATTTAGAGTAGATGTGATCAACAGATTAATGATATGGAAGAAATTTAGGAAAGTTTTACCTTTGTATCTTAAATGTTTAGAAGTTACAAAGATAATGTCTTACAATTCATATTTTGATCCTCTAAATTGTCATCTAGAAATTCAAATGAATAAATATAAACTGGAAATTCCAAAAGGTAAATCCTCTTTTCAGAGAGATGCTGTTCTCTAATGAACAATCTTTCAAAGAATTAGAAGAATCTAAGATGTTGCAGAAAAATCTCCAATATGCTACAACTTTCAGATGATGTTATGTACAAAACAGACTGGTGAGGACAAGTAATCAAAAGTAAGCTCAGAAATGGTACACAACCACAGGGACAGTGTAAGGAAGGCTAAAGTCAAGAATAAGTGGAAGTGTAGAAGTAAAAAAAGCTAAGAATGTGCCTCTGTTCATCTGTATAAATACATACACACACACTGCTATACACACAATCCCACACTTGCATAGATATACATAAATACAAATACACACACATAAGTAACATACACAGTGTACGTAGACATATGTACATATATATATATGCATATATACACAGTGAGAGAGACTTATCTTTGTAACAAAGCCCACACACATGCAGTGATGCATTGATTACAAAATATGTCAAAAATATATTTGAAAGATAAGTTTTTTTTTTAGGGGTAGGCAAAAAGAAATGTTAGAGGTAAAAACAGAACCAAAGAGCAGGAACAAATCAAAATACAATTTTATGGCTTTTTTTCCCCTAGCAAGAATAATCCAAAATTGAACAGAGAAAAAATTCCAAGCACTGGAAATCTAAACATTGAAACTCTAGGTAGACTAGGCAGTAAACTACCTGTTTCCAAATTTGAACATCATTGCCCAGGTAATTTAAAAGTCGGTGCACTGGTAACTTTTGCCAGTAATGGAAAAGACACAAGAGAATAAGGAGTTCAGTTAAAAAAAAAAAAAACAGCAAAAAGAATTTCTTCAAGAGTTTATTTCTGTGAGCTTAATGTAGATTCTGAGCAAAATTCTTGAAATTAGGAATAGTATTTTTCTTCTTTTATAGTAAAGTAATTTAATTTCTTAAAGAGTTTATTAGTAATATTTGTAATGAGAACATTAAAGTCATTTCTGATAAAATTTCCAGAGTAAAAGATTAGAAAGGGAAGAATATATCTTCTTTTTAGGCAGTTGTTTACACGATTCTACGTGACATTCTTCTGCACAAAATATCAAAAGGTAGGATGGATGATATTGCTAATGAGAAATATATTCTATGATTGCTAAGGATGAAGGTTTCTGGTAGTGTTTTGCAGGGTCATATCCTTTTACATACATACGACTTGAATAAAAAGGAAACAAATTTGTTATGTGCCTAGTTTATGTTACCTCATTTCCAGCTCTACAAAGAGCTACAAGGTATAATTGCTGCCTATTCAATTCCAATGAAAGTATTCCTATTTCACAGATGTGGGGATTGTGTTTCAAAGAGGTATAGAAATTGCAGACTGGATTTTAAACTCAAGTGTGCATGAAACTTCTATTGTGTTTCCTATGAAGACAAAAGATATACTTCTTAACATTTGTGGAAACATAAAGCTTGAAAGCTATAATAAAAACATTAAATGACAGAACAAAGTCTTAAAAAGTATGGCATCATGGTTCAAAAGGACAGCCTTAAAATTTGAAAAAATAATTTAAATATGCACAGAACAGTAAATCACTTTTATCAGTAGATCATGCAATAAATATAAAACTTGAGTATGGGTGCTGTTACTCGATAATATGGTGATAAAAATTAATGTAATACTTTATTGTATTAATGGATCTATTGGCAAGACAAAAGAGAACTACATTGTCTCCTTCAGTTGTGAGAGGGCAGTGAGTGTAGAGTTTTCAATGTTAATCATGGGTGCCATATTCTAAAGGAGATGTGGATAAACTGGTAAATAGTAAATGAATATTCCATATGGACGTCAAGAAGAGTAAGTGCTTTTCCTGACATGTCATCTATTTTATAAATATTTATACAATGTGAATATACAGCACAGTTTGTCTATGAGATCACAATAAAAATTCCAAAAAAGTTACTGGTCCAATAAGAAATGGAATTTTCAAGTCACACAAGTATAGCTATATGAGAGAAACAGTTCAAATGACACATCAGTTTCTAGATTATGTCTCTGCACTAGTGTGTAGTTTTCAGTGAGTTGGAAATAGAGTTTTAATTAAATCTATGTACGTTTATATTCACATTTGTTATTGTTGCTAAAATGTGTATTTTCCATAAACATATATTTTCCAAACTTACTGTGCTTGTAGAAAATGCTCTTCTTCAATATGAATGAGTGAAGGCTGCCTTAAGGAGAACTTTTTAAGTGTCAGTTACCATTTTGGTCAACTTAAGTTACCATAGAAATCTGAGACATTATTTAAGGTACATATTGTATTTTGTGCTTGAAACATATCAGCGCCTTATTTTCATGACAATTAACTGACTCAGCTATTTCTGTCGCATCAAGATTATTTTCAATGCATATTTTTAAGAAAAAGGAAATCACACACACATTTATCATGTTATTTCTCTCCTCGAAGTAAGCCTACATATAATAGAAATAATATAATTATTAATAACAGATTGAGGGGCCAGCGTTATGGTGCAGCAGGCTAAAGCCCCAGCCTGCAGCGCTGGCAGCCCATATGGGCACCTGTTCAAGTCCCAGCTGCTCCTCTTCTCATTCAGCTCTCTGCTATGGCCTGGAAAAGCAGTGGAAGATGGCTCATCTCCTTGGGCCCAAGCACCCACATGGGAGATCCAGACGAAGCTCCTGGCTCCTGGCTTTGGATCAGTTCAGTTCTTGCCATTGGGGTCATTTGGGGAGTGAAGCAGAGGAACGGAAAATTCTCTCTCTTTCTCTCTCTATCTCTCTCGGGCTCTACTTCTCTTTGTAACTCTTTCAAATAAATAATTCTTCATAAAAAAATAATTGATTGAGCATGGTTTAACCTAATAACTGTGTATTTGGCTCTATGTCTGATATAAATTTACTAGAGCCACTAATTAGAACTCATACTAGAGTTCTTAAACATAAGAAATACAGCACTGGGGCATATAAATGTCAAGATTTTCTTTTTGAAAGTGAATGTTTACTTGCACTTCCTGAAGCTTAATAGAAAAGCTTTCTTCGTCAAAGCTGGGGTTATTTCTTAGAAGGTTAACCCAGTGACATCATTGGAAAGTGACATCATTGAATATTATAGGCATCACTAAGTGATGTAACCAACTTATCCAAACTGAGTAATTACAGGATCATAAAATGAATTGTGACTCCTCTGGGTCACATCCACATTTATAAATCCTTAGCAAGCATCCAACTTCATTGTCTTCCTCAGCAATCTTTTTTGGAGTGTCTTCCAGAAGTTGATAGATGTCAACACTGCTCTTCGAAACATTTCACATTTCCTGAAGGATATGAAAAAGTTTCCTTCTCACTTCTTGGAATCTTCCCAGATCTTGGTATTATGTCTTTGGAACACAGTAATCTGCTTTTTATCATTGATAGTGCTGAACAATGTTATTTGTCATTTCTGAGATATAGCCAATTAATGAAACATCATGAGGAAAATCAAGAAAACAGAATAGTTTAAGTCTGAAAAGCATTCTTCAGTTCAAGGAAAAGGTAAGTCTAGTGGCAGTGTTTCCATTTCCTTGTGATTTTAAGACATATATGCCACAAAATATTAATGCTTCTTGTTTCATAAAAGTTTATGTATTCTCTAATAGTATAAATAGGGGCAAAAATTACATAGTTGTTGTATAAAAGTGACAAAAATTTCCTACTTTTATCTGAGTTTCTAATTTAATTTTTTTGCATAAATGATCAAAATTATAAAAGATTCTAATTTTTTTAAAACTAAAACATATCCTGAGTCCTAATGATTGTGTTTCAGGATGGAAGGAAGAGCAGGAAGATTTCCACATTTTTCTCTCACAAATTATATTTGTGTGTGTATTCAATATGTATTAACATGTATTTGAGTTTTTCTATAAACACATATGAAGAACCCTCTAGTTCTCTTAATCATAAATGCCTTCATTTTTGTTGTTCAACCAAAATGAAAATAATGAGGCAAGATCACACATCCTGAAAAAACAATGTCTTTAGGGCTCACGTGTCCTGGATGGTTCTATTGTGCAACTGGTTGAGAAGCAATTGGCCAGTCCTTGTAATAAAAATCAAGTTGTCTTAATATTTATGTGCATATAAAACAAAGGCAACATTTAGGACACTTTAGGATTAATCTGTAGCATGATAATATGATTTATAGAAGAATTATACCAACTATTTGTAGATAGTGTAATTAAAACTCAACATAGCAAATGGACAACAATAAGCATAAGTTATATAAGGAGTAATCTCTACATGAGGGAAAGAGTATTTTTGGTTATCAGAACATAAAATCTGTCATTTTGGCTTTGCTAATAAAAAAAACTCTTTGAGTTTATAAAAGTCAACTAATTTCTATGGTTCGTACTCTTTTATAAGGTATCCATTTAAATTCCAAAAAAAGTATATGATAAATTACAGTAATGTCGATCATATGCATTTTAATACAAAATATATAAAATCATCAAAATTTTCTGCATATAGTGAAAATGTTAGAATGAACTAACTATAGGCCTTTTCCAATATCTTCTGTTAAGTGCAGTTAACAAACATAATCTGAAAATAGTGAGTTTAGCTATTTTTTTTTGCAAAAGGGAAACTAGAAAAAGACTGCTTCCCACAGAAAATTTATTAACAATAATTATTCAATCAAATGTTTTTAAACAATGAGCAAAATTTCCTTTCATATCAAGAATCAAGATCAGATTTTTTTTAAGACTTTTGTTTTCTTTCTCCATTACCATACCTACACACACAAAAAAAATCTGTTGTGAAGACACCACTTCTTTGAGGAGGTATTCATTGCAGGTATACAGAAATTAATTAAAACCTGTTTACAATAAATTAGACCAGATTATAATTATAATCCACTGCATATTCACATAGATGCTTAATAAAGGCTATCTGATGACATAGTTAATTACCAGTTCTTGAGAAAGTGTGTACAGTTGGCAACTCTTTTTCAAGAATCATCATCCAACAAACTAAAGATTCTCACTTTAAATCTTTACCATCACTCTTTGGACAGTAAGTGGGTATTTGAAACTAAATTCATTAAGAAATAAATCAGTGAAAATAGCATTACCCATAGGCTGGTATTCAACATCAAGGGTTAAAATAAATACAGTTGTGTACTAGAGTAAAATTATGTTGACAATGTGTAAATAAAAACTGCTAAGAGGATGAACTTTTCTTTAAAACTGCATTATCCATTGCTTTCCCTCCAAAAGACAAAAGTAGCAAAAGAGGAATTTAGCAGAAAGGGAAACAGGAAGATGAGCTTCAGTAACTGATCATATTAATTTAATTGACTAATAAGTCCAAATGCTAATACTCCTGATAATCAGCCACTCCTTTTGTGTTTTAGTAACACGTATCCTCATACAAACGATATCAAATGGAATTTTCTGATTCACATCTGACATTTCAAAGTTTCCATTTTTGAATTCTCCTAGTCTTAAGTAAGTACCACATTGTCTTGTTTGTTTTGTAATATAAACATTTTCCCCAACATCTAGGGCTCCATGATGCAAAATGTCATTTTGTCGGTCTTCTGTCCCAGTATTCACTTTAATTTTTTTTATTACAATTGGAGTTTTAAATACAATCAGGAAGATATCTCCTGTTGAAGGTGGTTTCCCCCAAAAGTACTCATCAACGCTACTGTATGCCTTGCTTGCTTCGTAATTTTCAAACACATTCATGTTGGTGTATAGACTGGCAGGAGGGTTATCTGGGATGTCAAAAAATTCCTCTTCAAAATCATCATCCTTCAGCTTGTTTTCAGTCCCTTTGTATGATGAATAATAGCCCATGTGCTGAAAGAGAGATGGTTTAAAACGGATCACATTTTTCTGAGCCAACAGACCCCGGAAATGAGACAGTAGCCAATCACAAGGCATTTCTTGATAAAACATTAATAAAAAATGTGCCAATCGTGGGAGATCATGAGAATGATAGAGTTTACCTATGTATCCAAGCTTAGAGAACTCAAGAGTTACCCAGTAAGTTCCTTCTAGAGATGTAATGACTTTCTTGATGGCAGTTAAAAAATTTTTTGAACATCGGACATCATCTTCAAGCATTACGTAGTAGTCTGAAGTATTGGCACAAAAATTAAGCAGAAAAGCATAATCTACATTCTGCTTAGAACGAAATTTGACTCTATCTACTGGATCATTATAATTTCTTTTCAGACCATCCAGGATTGGGTAATATTCCTCTGGAGCATGTATAACCATTAATCTTCCTGCAATTATATGGTGGGCAAATTTCTGTGTAATATCCTGGACCATGCCATCACGCCAGGATGAATTAAAATCTGCTAGATGAACCACCACTGAAATTTCCTTCAGCTCTTCATAGCTGGATTGTTCAAAAATTGACCTGATTGTCTCAAGTAAATAGTTCCCCTTTTTTCGTTTCACTGATGAAAGTCCAATTGTAAGATATCCTGAGCAAAAGAATAAAGAAGGAAGACAAATTAAATGTGAACCACATAATAATAAAAAAAATTAAAGGAGAGTTCTTTCCCTTAGACCCACTACTGTATTAAGTAAATTTAGTGAATTACTATGTCTAGAACATTTTACAATTAAAGTGCTAAGCTTAATATGTAATGGTTATAGTACTTTATGCATAATTGATATTATATATAATTGATACTTTTGGGAAAATCAATTACATCTTAAATATAATGATGTCTGGACCCTAAATCCATTTAAGGTATCTTCAAATTAGAGTTCTCATAAATGTCCATCGAAAAGAGAGATTGATGCTTAGTAACATAGCTAAAACCATTTACAAAAGGGGGAATGAACTCACAGTTAAGAATGACAAACTATTCTCAAACAATGAAAGGGAAAAATAAGAATAAATCTTCTAAATAATCTTTAAATTTTTCATAGGATGTATGCCTTGTATTTTCATTTTTATTTGATTATTTTCATTAGCTTGTACTAGAAGAATTTATAATTGCATTTCACTATTTCATTTTGAGATTTACCTAGTCTATTAATTAAAAAACAAACAATATCCCAATATATGTTTGGGAAACTTTTATCATTATTTAAACATATGGTACATTATTCCAGGACATGAATATTATTGTTTTCTTTGTTGTGAAACACATCTTATGGTAACTTTGAAGAAAGTTTTATTCAGACAGTCAAACTCTAAAAGTAAAAACTGGATAATCTAAGGAAATAAAACAAAACACTAAGCAAAGACAGTTTGCCTGTGAAAATTATAGATGTCTTTCTGTTGAAATACAAGTATTTTCATAATTTAAAGCTCTTGTTCCCACATGACTAGAAGTAGATTTAATTTCTGAGCTGCCATTTTAAAAGTGGGAAATGTTATATGCGCAACATCATCAATTTAGTAGATACATACATGGTGTAATTTGTATGATATTGAAAATTTTCCCCAAGAATAATATTTCTTTGTAGCCTGCAAAAAGTTTGAGATTTATATATTTTGTTTAAATACCTGGGTTTACAACTCTGACTTCTGTTAAAATACAAAAGTGTTACATGGTACCAGTAAACTTTAAGCCATCAAATTTCTCTCTTTTTTTTAAAGATTTATTTATTTGTTTGATAGTCAGAGTTATAGAGAGAGAGGGAGGGATCTTCCATCCTTTGGTTAACTCCCCAAATGGTCTTAACGGCTAGGGATGGGCTAGGCCAAAGCCAGGACCACATGGATGGCAAGGGCCCAACTACTTGTGACATCTTTTGCTGCTTTTCCCAGGCCATTAGCAGGGAGCTGGATTGGAATTGGAGCCCCTGGGAACTGAACTAGTGCCCATACAGGATGTTAGCCTCACAAGTGGAGATTTTAGCTGCTATACCACAACACTGGCCCCCATCAAATTTCATTAACATTCAGAATAGTCACCATTTAATAAAACACTTTCTACGTAAGAGGCAAAGTCTATACATTTTATCTGTTATATATACGTGTGTGTGTGCGTGTGTGTGTGTGTATGTGTGTGTGTAAAATGTTCCTAACAGTCTTTGGGATAGATTTTCAATGAGCATCATTCTGCTTTACAGTTGAGTAAGCTCAGTCAAGTGTGATGAGGTAAGTTGTACAAGTGTCACACTTAGTAAGTGGTGGGTGTGCCAAGATTAAGAAGTACTTGCTTTTACCCTCAGCAGTTTTTTTTTTTTTTTTTTTTAAGATTTATTTATTTGAAAGTCAAAGTTACAGAGAAAGAAAGAAAAAAATCTTCCATCGCTGGTTCACTCCCCAAATGATCTCAGAAGCCAATGCTGGGTCTGTCCAAAGCTAGGAGCCAGTAGCTTCATCTGGGTCTCCCTCATGGAGAGCAAGGACCCAAACACTTGGGTCATCTCCTGCTGCTTTTCCCAGGCTATTAGCAGAGAACTGGGTTGGATTAGAGCAGCTGGGAAACAAACCAATGCCCCTATGAGATGCCAGAGTTGCACGTTACCTGCTAGGCCACAGTGCCAGCCCCAATCTCAGCATTTTCTTAAGGATTTATTTATTTATTTGAAGGTCAGAGAGACAAAGAAAGAGAGAAAGAGAGGAAGGGAGGGATATCATCCATCTTTAATTCACTCCTCTAATGCCAATAACCAGATTTGGGCCAACTCAACACCAGAACACCAGAAGCCAGGAATTCCTTCTTGGTCTCACACATGGATGGCTGGGCCCCAAGTACTTAGGTCATTTTCTTTTCTTTTGTTTTTAAAATATTTATTTGCTTGAAAGACAGAGTTACAGAGAGAAAGGGAGAAAGAGAGAGAAATAGAGAGAAAGAGAGAGAGAGAGAGAGAGAAATTGATCTCCCATCCACTGGTTCACTCCCAAAATGGTCACAATGGCTGGGGCTGGACCAGGCCAAAACCAGGAGCCAGGCTCTTCCTCCTGGTCTCCTATGTGGGTTCTTGAGGGTGCAGAGGTCCAAGCACCTGGGCCCTCTTCAGCTGCTTTCTTAGGCTTGTTAGTAGAGAACTGGCTCAGAACGGGAGTCTCCAAGATTTGAACTGGCACCCCTATGGGATGCCAGCTTTGCAGGCAGCAGCTTGTCCTGCAATGCCATGACACGTGCCCAGGGCCATTTTCTGTGTTCATCACATGCATATTAGTGGGAAAGTGGATCTGGAGGAGAGCAGCTCTGGATGCTATCAATACTCTGTGTCACGAATAGAGGCTTAACCCGCTGAGCCACAATGCCAGCCCCTTCCCCTTTGCCTTATATTGCTCCATTAGTATAAGGCAGTTCATATGTGTGCCAATAAACATTAGTAAAACTAGCACGGAAAAGGGAAATTAGTAATGTTTAAACAATGTGATACAACAGATGGAGTTGAAAAACCAGTGGCAGTCTTAGGCAATTAGAAGGAATTCTAAGAACACTAGATACTCGAAAGGATGAGATGAAAAGAAAAGCTATCTAAAGAAATCGAAATTACCAATTTCTTCAACCTGATGATTACAAACTCACTTGTATAAACACTTCTGCATAGACAACTTTTTTTTTGTAATTTTCACATAATCTATTAAGTTAATAGAATATAGTGAGGTACAGTCTTGCACAAACTATTAAGATTCGTGTTTTTGTACACTGAAACATTAAAATCAGACTGCATATTACAACTGATGGTGTCTTGTGTAAAATTTGTAATATTATACTTTCTTAGTGGTACATTCATTAGATAATGGTTCTTTTCATGAACTGTATTATCTTGACATCCATGAAATGCTAGCATGTCACTTCTGCATTCTAAATATTGTTTTTCTAATCTGACTGTAGTGGCCTGAAGTTTCTTCCAAGTATTCACTTCTACCTGGAACCTGTGAAAGTGACCTAATTAGGAAGTTCCCACTGCAGATGTAAGTCACTAAAGATCCGGGGATGTAAAATCCTAGATTTAGGAGTGGGTACAAAAATCCTATAACTGGTGCCCTTATGAGAAGAGCGAGGCAAAGGAAGGCTGTCATGGATGATGGATGCAGAGATTGGAGTTTTGCTGCCACAAGCCACGGAAGCAAGGAGCCACCACAGGATGAAAGAGGCAAGGACGGTTTCACCCTCAGAACTCCCAAAGGGAGCGTGGCCCTGCTGGTACTGGATTTCAACTTCTAGCCTCCAGAGTTATGAGAGAATAGATTGATGATTTTTTTCAGGCACTTAGTATGTGTTAATTTGTTGCAGAAACTAATACACTAACCTTCATTAATTCAAAACTAGTGGCAACTCATAAAAGCCAAATCACCAGAGGTTGAAAACACAATGATTTAAGAAAAATTACTTTAAAGTATTGAATACAATTGAGTCTTTTTTTTTTAAATTAAAATAGAGTTTATTAGCTTTTCTTTTAATATAAACACAAGAAAAATCACGTGAGTTGTAGCATTCTTTTCAAAATAAAATCGCAATCAACACTTGAATCTCCAAGCTCTGAACTCCATAAACGATGTTTTTTTCTTTGAGGTGGTAGATTGTAATATTTATATACCATTATTTATGTCTCTGTCCTTTAAAAATGATGGAACCTGTAACACTCAATATCATGTAAAGTGTTGCTATATTTAGAGAAAATATTCCTGGCCCAGAAACGCTTTGTTTACAGGTCAAATTCCTGGGATTATACTTGAAAAGGTAGGAGAAACAGATTTCATATAGTTGAGAACACTCATTTTTTTCCCCAATATTTCAAATCTAGGGTGATATTGTTACCAATCCCCTAACATTATCTATTCCTTGTCCTTTAAAGCCTGGAAGGTTCCTAAGATTTACATAAGTTTCTGCTTAAATAGCAGGACTTTAAATGGGACGCTTCCAGCCAGGTGAACATGTGGGATTAAACAACCGTTTTGTATCACCTACAGCTATTTAGGGTCCAGTCCTTTGTTGTCGATCACATGTGCATTAACACTGCTCTTCATAATCTTCCTTTACCAGATCTAGAGGAAAGAGAGGTGATCCAAGCAGAGAGAGTACAGCTCTGCAAAGAACTACTTTAAGAAGGGAGGTACTTCTAGGTGACAACAAGGTATTCCAAAACTCTTGGTGCTGCTGTAAGCTTTGATAGCTGTAGAAGTATAAATGCTACAGACTTACATACAACACATTATCTGAAAGCTCAGTTATTTCTTTTGGACTTACTTAGGTTTGCAAATTTGGAATATTAAACTTCAATTCTATTTGGGGAAGGAGGTTTCAGTCAATGTGTACAATCTAAAATTGTACTGAAATAAAACATTAAAATTAAAAGCTTAACATTCCAAATTTACAAAAAAACAAGTTCAAAAGAAACTAAACTTTCATGTGATGTTCTAAATCTGTAGCATGTCTACTTCTGTTGCAGTGCCCTGGAGGGCCCACCAATCAATTTTTTGTTATGAGTGACATTAAGTCCATGAGTAATTGCAATTTGTGAAGAAGCACTCAAGTACTTCCCAAGGAATATATTAGTAAGTCTCCTATCATCCTTATTTCTATACCAATGAAACAAGTCAGTATTATTTTACAACAAAATGTTGCATGCATTTATAACTTACAAGTGTAAAGATACTTACGCTTTCTCTGTAAGGGTGTGGCAGCGAGGTAACGATAGGTAACATTTATGGTTCCTGAGAAATTGGATAAATCCTTGAAAGTATGAACATAGCGTTCAGAATTCAGTTGGTGTGTGGATGTTTCCCTTATAAGTTGTTTGTCTCCTTCCTAAATGTCAAGAAAGAGAGAAAATAGAAAGTAAAATAGGTAGCCATGGATTAAATAATGTTTCCCCTGAGACAATGAATATATGATTATTATACAAAATGTGGAAAGTTGTGTAAATCTCAGTAACAGGTACCATAAACTGTAGCTCATCCTCACTCATCTGATTTCTTACCCGGACTCATTCTTCTCTGGATATTCCCACAACTTTCATGTTAAAATTTAAATATTTATAATAACCAAAAGATCCTAAAATTTGATAGTAGTCTATTTTACAGTTTCGTTTGAGGTTAGTTCTTACAAAATTCCTCACATTATAGAGTTCCACGAGTATATTTATTCTTCCTCAAGCATTGCCAAATATATGTCACACATCATAAGTAGGAAGATGTAGCAGTAGACACAATAGTTGGATTTTGGATAATTTATTAATAAAGCTTTGGTGAGTCACTTACATGGCCACTGTAACTGAAAGCTTTTGAGATTTTTGTTCCAAACGTCCTCAAGTAATCTTACTTAGGATGTATTTGCCCCAAGTCAAGAGAATGTGTTCAGACCTTGCATTAAGTTTTGTGATAATAATATGCTTGCTTGTGTGGGTGGGTGCATGTGTGTTCGCATATTATTATATCAGAGATGAACTCTGGTCTTTTTATACGTAAGGTCTCTTTACCTACATGGTAGGAAAGTTTTCATGTCATTAAATCTTCAATAAGGTTTATATTTAAGAAAATATATTTAGATTCAGGTTAAATATATCCTGTTAACAATTCATTGCTTCCTTATTTCTCCCAAATTTCATATAAGTTCAAATGTGGATTTTGATTATGTATGTATGGATGGATGGATTTTTATTTGGGGGGAATACTGATTTTCCATTGACTGGTTTGCTCTCCAGGTAACAGTAACAACTCTGGCTGAGCCAGAATGAAGTCAAGAGCCTGGATTTCCATCCAAGTCTTCCATGCTGATGGCAGAGAACCAAGTACCTGAACCATCATCTGCTGAGTCCCAGGGCGCTCATTAGCAGGAAGAAGGATCAGAAGTGGAAGCAGGACTCTGATATGTGATGAAGTGTCCCAAGTGGTGACTTAATCCACTACATCACAATGTCTACTCCTTAAGCTTTATTTATTTATTTATTTACTTGCTTAATCATTTATATTTATTGGAAAGGCAGAACAACACACACGCACAGAGACTATGATTAATAAATCACCATTTGATCAAATCTTTATTGGCTATACAATATTAGCAAAATGATAACTTCTGTGGCTTGTGAAAATAGCTTATTACTATTGATGCTATATATTTTGGGCAACATAATTAGAAATAAATTGTTTGTTTTTCAGGACATTCTGGTATGTAGTGCCATGGGGATCTATTTCTACTACTCAGAGTGTCAGACAGGTATGCATAAATAGCATAAATAATTAGTACATTAAAGAAGGTAAATGAATGAAATAACTTTGATCCTGATATCATTTGGCCGAGGACCATAAAACTTTATTTTAATCCCTGTTGTTAAAGATTACTTAAGGGGCCGGTGCCGTGGCGCAATGGGTTAACGCCCTGGCCTGAGCACCAGCATCCCATATGGGTGCCGGTTCTAGTTCCAGCTGCTCTACTTCCAATTCAGCTCTCTGCTATAGCCTGGGAAAGCAGTAGAAAATGGCCTAAGTCCTTGGGCCCCTGCACCTATGTGGGAGACCTGGAAGAAGCTCCTGGCTCCTGGCTTTGGACTAGCGCAGCTCCGGCCATTGTGGCCAATTGGGGAGTGAACCATCGGATGGAAGACCTCTTTCTCTCTCTGCCTCTCTTCTCTCTGTATAACTCTCTGACTTTCAAATAAATAAATAAAATCTTTTAAAAAATAAATAATAAAGATTACATAAGCACAAGTTTTACCTGGATGGGAACGTCCAGTACTTTGGGTAAAACTTAAATTGGAAAGATGATCAAATCAAATTTTTAAACAAAGACTTATTTATTTGAGGTATACATACAAATAGTCTTCTATTCTTTTATTACTTATAATATTTATAGTATTTTATGCTATTCTATTCTATTATTCAAACAATCTTCTATTGTTGATTCACTCCCATTTTAATGGCTCCAACAGATAAGACAAGGTCAGACCAAAACCAGGAGGCAGGAATTTCATCTGAGTCTCCCAGATGAGTGACATGGACTCAGATACGTGGGCTATCATCCACTGCCTTCTCAGCTGAATCAGCATGAAGCTGGACAGGATGCAGAGCAGCTGAGACTCAAACAGAGCACCTTGATATAGGATGCCTGCGTCACAAGGGTCTGTGGAGGGGGCTTAACCCATTGCACCACAATGCTTATCTTGATTAGATGGACCTTTCAAATCTATGGCCATACTTGAATTTTCTAAGAATAAAAATTGAAAAACATATAGTATGACTAGAAATTTATAAGAACTTCAACATCATCCTTATTAAATTAAGATTCATTTTGAATATCTTTTCTGCATATCCAATTATGTTTGTGAAACTATATTAATTCTTTATTAGTGTACTTCCGTATTTTCAAGTGTTTTGCTAATTGCATAGGTAAAAATATTTTTGCTTCTTGTAAGGTTTATAATGTATTTTCCCTCTATAAAAGATATAAACTTTCAAAATACCTGAAATTCAACCTTACATGTTAAATTTCTTTTAAATATCACTGAGTTCTGATTATTTTAAATTCTTTACACATAAATATTTTCACTCATTTATGTCAGAAAAATCTATACAACATCATTGAAGTTTTAAAATAAACAAATTTAGGCATGCTGCAAAATTACTGGGGATTCAGTTTAGCATCACTCATTGTAATAATACTGTAACGGTGTATACAACCAATAGGGATAAGAGGTATCTTTAAAATCCTAGCAATTAGGCTGGTGCTGTGGCATACCATGTAAAGCCACCGCCTACAGTGCTGGCATCCCAGATGGGCACTGGTTCGAGACCCGGGCTGCTCCACTTCCAATCCAGCTCTCTGCTATGGCCTAAGAAGTCAGTGGAGGATGGCCCAAGTCCTTGGACCCCTGCACACACATGGGAGACCTAGAAGAGGCTCCTGGCTCCTGGCTTTGGATTGGTGCAGCTCCAGCCATTGCGGCCATCTGGGAAGTGAACCAACAGATGGAAGACTTTCTCTCTCTCTCTCTCTCTCTCTCTCTCCTTCTCTCTGTCTAACCCTGCCTATCAAATAAATAAATAAATCTTTAAAAAAATCCTAGTAGTCACTGTACTGAATTCATCTTACTGTTCTGTGTGATGATACACTCTACAGAAGTGCAAGATGTTGAGTATCTCTTTAAGAATTCTATCTGGAACATGTAAAACTCCAGACTTTTATGTGATAAGAGGGAGTACATTCATCCTGATTGAGGGCTATAACAGAATATAAAATAAAATGGATCTTGTATGAAAACACTTTATTACATTCTCAAGAACAAGTTTCTTTACACTTTCAGCATGAATAAATAATACAGCTTTCACCTGAGTCAGCCTTGCTGGCTGCTCTCCAGAAGCATCGAAGTGAGCAGCCAGGTTCTCCCTGGATACATCCTTTCCGTAGCTACTATGCTGATGTGTATTTCTCAGTAATAAGACAAGGTTTTATGACAATCATTTTCTGGATGGGAATGCAATTCAATGGACTAGCTACTGACTAAATATATACCCCAGTGGCTACTTTGAAGATGCTCACAGCCGAGAGCTAAGTTGATTGGGCATGCAGCGTCTCTTCTACTTAGTTTGCCTTGTGATGGTATTTGTCTCTCACACTGAGCTTGGCTTCCTTTAACACTGAAAGGCACATATGCTTTCAATACATACGCAAATATGCTAAACTGTTGATATGCCTAGGATTTTGGCCCACAGATGGATTTACTAGCAAAATGAACAGAACAGAATATGCCAAGTAACTCCAGAGACGTTACCACTTCTGTTTGTCTCCTTTATCTGAATTATAAGTATTATTTGCTAGTAAAATAAGGAGATGGAAAATAAAAGACCAATTCATTTCTGTGCTTAGATAATGACATACATTGTGGCATTATGACGAGAAGATGAAAATCACATTGGGAAAGCAATGAAAATAAAATAAAGGCAGATAAATGATTTAGGAGGGAAATGTGTATAAACTGTATTATATTCTAGGAGGAGGCCAGTTTTCCAAACATATTATATATTCTAGACAAAAAATTTTTCTAACATTTATTATTAATGATGGAAATAATGTTGCAAATCTTCACACATAGATTGTTTTAAGATAAAATTCAACTCAAAATTCAATTTAGTTAGAAATTATCTAGCAAATAGAATAAATTTAAATTAGAAAAATATTCCCATTGAATTTATAAAAGGGAGATTTGATGGTATGTAATAATCATTTTAACTCATTTTTTCTACCTTAATAAAAGTAACTAAAAGTAATCAGTTTTTAAAGTTAAGAAGCAATACCTTTTTTGCACCTTGACTGATTTGCAAATTTTACTAAACAGATTCCTAAGATAGAAATTTCTTTGAGTGCTCTTTAGAAAAGCTACTTCAAAAAATTATATTTTTTATATTAAGTGTATTAGGTGGCTAGGACTAACATTTGGATACGACTGTATGAACATTAACAAAGCAGGCAATGCTGGTTTTATTTTGTTACACATTTTAAAGTGAATTTAAAGAGACAGTATAATAAAAAAGGCATAAGGTTATTTGTTGGATAAAATGGTCTTTTGGGTTGGAAGAAACTGTTGACTGCATCACTAAGGCAACAAATCATTGAATTCAACAGCATCTAACCCATAACATGTATTTGTTATACAAGATTTTATTTAATCTAAAACTAGATATATAATCTCCAATCTGATCAACACAGCATTGATATATCACATGGGCCTTGTTCCAATGCCCTTATATCTCATAAAGTTAAGAGTCACGTTAAAAATTTTCCGAAATGCATGTTTCCAAAATGCAAATACATGTTTACGTAAGCTATGCTTAGTGAAATTCTGTCAGTCTGTGTTGTTTTCAGCCATTGTAAATTCATTATGGATGACAGAATGAAAGGTCCACAAAACCAGGACCTGGCAAATAGCAGGTAATAAAACAATCATGCTTAATTAGTAAAATAAAACGTTTTATTTGGAAATGCTCTTTGTTATTATTGTCAGACTCACTTTTGGTAAGACAGTCCTAGAGAATATAAGTGTGCTTACAAATGGGAGGTTTTTTGGTCTTTGTGATATTAGAGGTTTTGATTTTATGATGTATTCAAACGGTAGTAGTGACATTAGGATTAGGACAGATTATCTTGGGCTCAAACCAGGTAGAAAATGTAAATAAACAGTATCTTCTATTTTACTCTTCTAAGACATGAAATGATATGATACAACAAGTAAAAAAGAATAGAAACTAAGAAATTGATTCTTTATAATTGAGAATAAGTCCTTTTTGCATATTTTGATATTTCACTTAAAATCCACTCATGTCATTATCCATTATTTTTAATAACTCATTTGACTACAGAATAGTTTCTGCATTGAAATCTATATCTTTGAGATTTTTTTAATATATTTATTTTTATTTTTTATTTTTTTGACAGGCAGAGTGGACAGTGAGAGAGACAGAGAGAAAGGTCTTCTTTTGCCGTTGGTTCACCCTCCAATGGCCGCCGCGGCCGGCGCACTGCGCTGATCCGATAGCAGGAGCCAGGTGCTTCTCCTGGTCTCCCATGGGGTGCAGGGCCCAAGTACTTGGGCCATCCTCCACTGCACTCCCTGGCCACAGCAGAGAGCTGGCCTGGAAGAGGGGCAACCGGGACAGAATCCGGCGCCCCGACCGGGACTAGAACCTGGTGTGCTGGCGCTGCAAGGCGGAGGATTAGCCTAGTGAGCCGTGGCGCCGGCCTATATCTTTGAGATCTTGTGAGTGAATATAAACATATAAGATGGTAGTCACTGAAGACAATTCAAAATCTTAATAAAAGTGATTACATAACTTAACAAAATTTATTTAAGCAACATAGCAGAAATATCATTGCTAACAATGACTACTTGAAAATTTCAACAATGATATAGAAAATAATAGGTAATATTTTGTAGGCAAAACTTTTATATTCCAAATATTTCAAATCTTAATGATTTTACATAATTACAGTGATGATATCTAACTTACTTATAATATCTAACTTACTGAACTCTAATATACATAGCATTAAAGAAAATACTAGAACATGATTAAAAAAAAGTGTAATGGTAGAAATGTATAAATTTGTAAAACTAATGGTTACAAATGTTATACTATGATAGTTTTAATTATGTGTGATTAATATTTACTGTATATGGGTGAAATGCTCATTTTTCCATTTGATTATCATTTATAGCCATTGTCTATATTCCCACTAAACTAGGGTCTTTTTGCTTTATACTTGTTAAACTTCTCTTTTGGTGAAGCATTAAAGCTTTTTATTGTAATGTAATTTTAATATATGTTATCCCAAAAACTAAAAGAAAAAGAAAGAAAGGGAGAAAAAGGGTGGGAGGGAGAGAGGCAAAAGAAGGGAAGCAGGGAGGAAGTGACTATTATTAAGTTCTTAGAATTTTACCTACTAATTAAAATTAAAATATAATATTTTTAATAAATTAAAATAATAGAAATACTTACAATAACTTTTTTCAAACTGAGCCTACACCAACAGTCTTGGGTTGAAATTAAGTTACAAATAGTAATAATCCTAGTTTGACTTAGACTTTACTTCACATAAAAATAATCAGTCTTTGGAACTTACCAGAACATAACTATCCTCAATATACAAGTTCATAAATAGAAGGAAAATGACAAGAACTCCCAAGAATGACACCACAGAACGTTTTCTCAGGTATCGCATTTTATCCAGTATTTGAAAAATCTGCTTCATTTGATGAAATTTAAACATCCTCTCCTGTTTAAAAGAGGCAAATAATTACTAATAGTTTACTAACAATTAATTTTAGATACAAATACACACACACACACACACACACACATATATATATATATATCTCAAAAGCCAGGCCTTTATAAAAAGAATGATACTCTTCAAAGTTGAGAATAACATTGTTTTCCAAAATCACATATAAGGTTCACATACGTGATTATATGCAGCATATATATTTTATGTCATGTGTATATTATATATTTAATATGCAGTAAATGTTGTGGTTTATAGTGATATAGCCTAGATCAAAATGAAAAGCATGCCTCAGAGTTACTGAAAAAAGCTTTTGTAATAATAATAATATAAGAAAAATAAATAGGACTTCATCATAAATGAAATGTCAGGTACACAATAAGTACTCTATATTCTCACTTACATATGGGAGCTACAAACTTGATTCCAAAGAAGTAGGGAATAAAATAGAATAGAGCCTGAGAAGGGTGTAGGGGAGAGAGAGGCATAGAAAGAGATGGTTAATGGATAGAGGGGTGCAACTGGAAGGTAGGAATAACTTGTCATGTCCTATAGAACAGTAGCATAACTATGATTGACAACAATTAATTGAATATTTCAAAACAGCTAGAAGGAATTTTTAATGTCCCCAATACAAGGTAATGGCAGATCTCTGAGGTGACAGTTATACCAATTACCTATATCTGATCATTCTAGATTGTATACACGTAATAAAATGTCATACTGTGTACATCTCTAGATACATGCATCTACCATACAGCAATTAAACATAAAGTATATTTTACAATAATTTGAAAAATTGGTGACTGAATCAAATAAAAGAAAAATGGACAAAAAAGAAGGCCTTTGAGAGAAGGAGAACAAGAACACAGAGAAAAACATGTCAATTGTTATAAATGGGATCCAACATTAACATAAAACCCACCTCCCATGTTAAAATGTAATGAACATGGAAGAAACTATAAGTATGGACCTAATATTAATCTAAGAGTGTGTAGCATAACAGCTTTTGAATGGGAAGCTAGAAGGAAGAAAGAGAATTCAACAAAAGAAGTTAAGGTTTTGGAGACATTATCAAGCATAGGTTTGAAGAAAGATGATTGCTAAATCATTGTGGATCCTGATACAGCAAAACCACGTTATTTTGTTGGATCTAGTAAATAGCGCTTTGGCTATTTGGATTATTTCATGTATGGAGAAAAGGCAAAATGGGCGTAAGATTAGTGGAAAACCCCAATTTTTTTCCCACTTCACTTTTCTATAGTATGTGGCATCTTCCTATTAAGATCAATTTACATTACTAACTACTGTTGTTTTTAATACTTTATTTTGTTTTTTACTGTTGTGATTAATGTACAGCTTTATGAGGTATAATGGAATATTTTAACACATTTACAAACCAAAAATTGATGAAGCTGGGCAACCAGGCTTTCCATGCCCTTATCCTTTCTTTCTGTTAGGATCCTACCAGCTCCTCTCCTCCAGTTCCTTACACAGTACATAATACCTTATTGTGAACTGTAGTCACCTCACTGTTATGTGAAACAATAGGACTTGCCATTTCCATGTAGCTGTTTTGGTACCCATTATCCAATCTCTATCTTGCCTCCCTCCCACCATTCCCAGCATACTCATGCTTGTGATTATCTATTTTTCTAACTTCCACATATGAGGGAAACATACAGCATTTGAATTTCTTTCTTTGTTTTAGTTCCCTTAACATAGTGATCTCCAGTTCCATCTATCTGTCAGCACATGTCAGCATTTCACCTTATTTACAGGTGAGTAAGTATTCTATTTTGTATATATTTTCTTTAGGCATTCATCTGTTGATGGATTCCAAAGTTGTTTATATATCTTCATTATTGCTAACGGTTCTACAATGAATATGGAAGTGCAAGGACCTCTTTCATATGCTGATTTGAATGCTTTGGATATATACCCAGAAATGTGATGGTGGGGTCAAATGGTGGATCAATTTTTTAATTAAAAAATTTTTTTGTTTACTTATTTATTTATTTGAAAGGCAGACACAGAGAGAAAAGAGACAGGCAGGGATCTCCCATGTTCTGGTTCACTCCCAAAACACATGTGCCAGCCCAAATCCAGGAGATAGAATCAATCCAGGTCTCTAACATACCAGCACCAAACCAAGTACTTGGGCCATAAACTGCTGCCTCCAGGGGTACAGATTAGCAGAGAGCTGACTTAGAAGCAAAACCAGGACACAAATCTAGGCACTCTTAATACGTAATGTGGCTCTCTCAGGCAGCATCTTAACTGCTGTGCCAGATGCGTGCCCCTGTTTACATTCTGGAGGGGCTTCCATTCTGTTCTCCATATGACCCTACTAATTTGTATTTCTACCAACAATGCATAAAGGTCTCCTTTCTCTACATACTCACCAACAATTGTTATTTTATCTTATTTTTTATAATAGTCATTCTAACTTCTGACTGCTGTCTTCAAAAGTACAAACGTATACAGAATGATCAACAGATGGCCAGAATCATATTTTGTCTAAAAGCAATACAGTTATAATCCGGAAATAGAGCTATTTGGAATTGTGTAATACGTCTGCCTGTATCCATATTTAGGATGAAGTATTTATGTGCAGAAAGGACTTCACAAGTGTAAAAGGTCTGTACCTTAAACCTTAGAAATATGCCTATGCTCTAGATAGCAAGTAGTACCTCTTCAGTGAATTTATAGAAGAAAGAATTCATGGATTCATATAAATTATGGTAAAGAATATTAAGAATTAATGAGAAAACCTTAACATCCAGAAGAATGGAAGAAATTTGAAAAAGAAATAAATATTACTATTTCCTATGGCCATATTTTTATCAAGAGGTATTTTTATTTTTTCTTATTCATTTGTAGGATTTGTAAATATATGTATAAAGAAGGACATATATACAGACATAAATGTATAATACCAGGAGTTTGCCAATATACGATATTTCAAAGCATATGCAAAGTGGACAAAGTAATGGTTTGGGGGCAATATTACAATTCTGTCTGCAATAATGTAAAATAGAATGAAACAATAATAATAAAACCCCAGGCTATCATTCCAAAAAGTTGACAAAGAATGCGAATGCTTAGAGAATAATTGTAGCCACCTAAATGCTAAAATCCCAATCTTCCAAAGTATAACCTTCTAAAATGCAGTCAGAGTAATACAGAGCACAAGTCCACCCTTGCTTCTGTACACCCCGAGTATCACTGTGAGGAAGAAAATGGCACAAACTTCAACTTACACATAAGGGAGAACTTAAATACCCACAACAAGCAGAATGGTCCCAGGAGCCCAAAGCAAAGCAAACAGCAGGTCAGAAGACAGACTAGAATACAGGTCAATTATTACAGATACTACACTGACTGTATCACTGTAGAAAAAATTAATGAAGTTAATAAAGCCACCTAAACCACTCCCTTACCCCAAACTTAGAATCACCTCTTGGATAAGGGACCAGGAAATTCCAAAACATTTTTCTTTTCAGAAAAAAGAAAGTCTATACCAAACAAAACCAGACTGAGAGTCAGAGTTACCATGAGGAGGAAAACAAATAACCAATTTTAGGTAGGAGGAAGATGATGCTGTCTTATGTTGCACCATTAAAAATAAGAGATCTCAAGATGGATAGGATGCATATTAAGGACACAGAATACCACTTGAAGAGGCTTCTATTGGGAAAAATAGGTGATTTTTAAAAGTAATTTGGTTGATAGTAAAATATTGAATATCTATGAATTCAAGGTTAAATGATGATAATTTTAAAAAAAAGAAATAAAATGCAAAAAATCCCGTTTGCCACAACTGGAGGTGATCAGAGTACTATCTTCTGACCCTATAAATTGGCAATAGAAAGTATTAAAGTATCCCGCATTTCCGGGAGGGATTGTACTTAAATCATCCACAGTTAGTGTTGGGTATTTTCAGATATTGGACATCTGGCAGCTCAGTGGAGTACCCTTGAGAGAAACAAAAGCAAAAGGGACAGTCCCCGATATTGCAGTTTGCTGCCAATGGACAGTTTTCAGACGGGAGTGTGAATACAAATAGATTGTAGAGATCTTGCTGAGTTCAGCAGAGTTAAGCACTAAATTACCTAGAATTCAAGAGGCAAAATATTTCAAAGGAGAAGGTTAAACAGAATACAGATTTGGAATTCTGCAGAAGGAGTCTTCTAAATCTGAACTTAATACTGATATTAACATGTGTCGTGAAACTCTATGTGGCTGGAGAAAGAAAATTTCAAAAAAGCAGCAGGCTAAGCAGTTTTTAAAGATTACACAGATTTGGAGATTATTTATGTGTCTGTCACATTTATGTGTCTGTTAGCCAGTTGGATAAGCTTGGGCAGTAAATGAGACATTAAGAAGAATCCACAGACACATAGCACTTTAGTATTGAGGCTAAAATAACTGCCTTAATCATGTCATAACAAAAGCTTAAAAGCATGTATTAATAGCATCATGACTTAAGTCCATGCCCCCATAAATTCCAGCAATCTCTAAAGGCACATGACGGGTTGGTGTTGTAGCTCAGAGGGTTAAGCTGTTGTCTGCGATGCCAGCATACCACCTGGGTGCCAACGTGAATCCTGGCTGCTTCACTTCCAGTTCAGCTGCCTGATAATGTGCCTGGGAAATCAGCAGAAGTTGGTCCAAATAATTAAACCCCTGCACCCATGCGGGACACTCAGATGAAGCTCCTGAAACCTGCCTTCTGCTTGGTCCAGCCCTGGATGTTATGACCATTTGCAGAGTTAACCAGTGGCTGGAAGATCTCTCTCCCTTTCTGTCTTTCTGTCTCTCCTTCTCTCTCTGTAACTCTGCCTTTAAAACAAATAAATAAACATTTTAAAAAACATAAGGGTACATGACAATAACCACAATAGGCACCAATGGCAAAGGAAGACCTTTCTCTCTGTCTCTCTCTCTCACTATCCACTCTGCCTGTCAAAAACAAACAAACAAACAAA